ATAAAAAACGTATAGATACATTTCTCTATATAGCGATACAGTTTTTATAAACAACTGAATTGTTGTAAAAGTCACATTGTATTGTAGAAATGTAGAGCTTCAATGAATGGATTAATTGTCAGCTATTAAAGTAATCACCAACTATTTTAAAATTAATTAATCGTTTTGAGTCATTTTTAAGAAGAAATGTCCAAATTCTCTGATTTCAGCTTCTCAAATGTCAATATTGTCGAGTTTCTTTAGTTCTCTATGACAGTAAACTGAATATCTTTGGGTTGTGGCCTAAACAACACATTGGAGGATGTCAACTTGGGCTTTGGAAACAGCGATAAACAATTTTCAAAATGTTCTGACATTTTATGGACCAAACAATGGATCTATTAATTGAGAAAATCATTGACAGAGTCATCGATAATGAAAATAACTGTTGGCTGCAGTCTTCTAGGAGTTCTGGTAATGTTTTGCCAAGTTCCTTTTTTATTGTAACTTCTTTGCACTATAAATACACATAAATCACATGGTTATAGCCAGCAATGAGTCACTGTTGCGGCTTCAAGCATTAAAGTCATGCTGCTAAATATGTAGACCTTTAATATTATGACAGTGAATGTCATAACTGGGTTACAAATGACCATATAGTCTGATTGGATTTACAGCAAGTCTAAATATATATAAAGAGTGGAAGTAATAAAACTTGGTGAGTATAAAAATACGTAATAATAGTTAGTAATTAATAATAAAAAGAATGTAATAAAACTGCATGTGAATTGAAAAACACTATTAGCTTAACATAATCAGAATGATTGAAAGTGGCGCTATGTGAAGAAGTCAAATATAATCAAAATAGGTTCTGATGTATCAAATACTTTTTCCTTCACATGCATTACATGGAATATTTTTCTCACAAGATATGTGAATTGTGTTCACCACTAGTTAAACATGTTTATTTGGTGTAGCCTGGCCTCTTCAAAATACTGTATATCTTGGCTCTAGGGCTGTTGCGTAATATCTAAATATTCTGTAGAGGTTCGCTTTTGGTAAGGGAAATAACTAACAGCAGCAACGGGGGAAATTCATCTCAGTGATTGTTTTGAAATGGTCCTCCTGGAACAGGGGGACCTGGGTTTGGGGAGAAGTCATGCACTTCATTGACTCCTTTCAGAAACATGTCCTAGTCCAACTATTAAATTCATCCACTGATCCAGATAGGACCCAAAGAGAACAAGGGTTGAGTACTTCAAGCAAAACAGGATGTTGGATGTCACTTATCAAACCCTGGTTGTTGTTGTTGTTGCGATCTACCATTGGATTTCGGATATATTTGGATTTTAGCGACCCCCTCAAGTACTTCAGTGACTTGTGTGAGTTGCTGCAAAGATGAACCTGTTACAACACTAAATACTGGAGTTATAGCTACACTGAAAGCAGAGCATTTTATGCATTTTATGCATTTTAGTAGAGTGACATTAAAATTAATTTGAGAGTGTCAGTCAGATATTAGAAATAGTGGCTTTCAGTAAAACCAAACATTTACATAATACGTATGGAGATCAAGGTCCTGAGGGATTGTGATCAAGTGTAAATCTTAGAACAGGGTTGTTTTTCTTTTTCATAATCCTGAAAGACCATTATTTGGAGATTTGAGGTTTTCTCGTGACGGCAGCCATTGTTTTGCATTTCGATCTGAAGTGTAGACAAGACCCTTGTCTTGTAACCAGCTCAAACCCGACCCAACCCACACTGCCCTGATGGTGGAGACAGAAAAGCTGCCTGGGTCCAAATTAAAGTCAGAAATAGAATCAATAACAGCAGTAACTTGATGAGGAGACTGTTGGGACTTGAGAAATAAAAAACATTAAAATGCAGTGAAAATATTATGAATAGAATTCCAGCGTTACTCCACAAGCGGCCCCTCTGCTCAGGCCTTTTGCTCCTGGTGGGGGGTGGAGGAGTCGGGGAGTCCACCACAGGCCCCCCAGCCCTCCTCCCACCGTCTCTCCGTAGCGGGGCCAACCGCAGGAATGCAAGCCGCTGTCAGGAAGCTGTAAAGTGCTGACGCGGAGGTCAGCGAGCGTTTACACACATGTGGCTTTACTTTCACAACTCCATCTTGCTTTTTCTCCCTTTCTCCTTCATCTGCTCCTTGTTTTTTTCTTGCCTTATCTGCGTCTTTCCTGATGCCCCCCCCCCCTTTTTATTATTTTCTCAACATGAAGGTATCTTTATTATTATTTTCTCAAAATGAAGGTTCAGTGTTGGTAGTTTGCCTGTCGTGTGCTCCAGCAGGTTTGTTGTGTCTGACTTAGCTAAATTAGATAAATGTGCAGCTATTCGGTACGTAATATGTTCATTCATTATCTCACAAATCTTATGAACACAACGCTTGGCAAACAGGACCCAAAAATCTAATTTATTTAAGCTGTAGGTGAGGACAAAGATGATCAGAACATAATTTTAAAACCTTAAAATGACATTAATGAGAACAATTTATAGTATTA